ACCAGATACAAGGATACCTGAGTCATCAGCATAATAAAAGCTTATTGCTTAGGGTTGCAGACATGTCATTGACATGTATTAGACATAAAAGAGGACCTAAAATGAACCTCAGGGGGACACCATAGGTACTCAGAGCAGTAGAAGAATGAGTACCAGCCACATACACCAGATGCTGTCTATAAGAGATAAGACTTGAACCATGTAAGAATGTCATTACCTATGGCAGATGCTTGAAGTTTCATGAAGAAGAAGAAGAACTTCTTCATGTGCAGTATAGTGTTATTAAATGTATCAAATGCCTTTTGTAGATCTAAAAGTATCATGCAATACTGCCCTTTGTCCATTTCAAATTTAATAAAATCTGTTAAATAAATCAAACATGTGTCAGTTGAAAAACCACTTCTAAACCCTGACTGAAACTGCCTGACATGACTCAAACCCATGACTGTCAGAAAACCAACTGAGCTATCTGGCCGGCTACACATTTTCTCTTTAATAATGAAACAGTTCTAAACCACAACATATTTGCCCTACTATATTGATTTGTGTCCTTGAATTTCTGATGTTTACAGATCATAGTGAATTAAACTCAGGGTTGTATGCAGTCACGGGTTGAGAAAAAACTTTCAGCTTGACCAGAACTCGAACCTGTGACCCACAGAATAATGTACCTCGGCTGTAGCTATTGAGCTATCTGGCCGCTTACTCATTTTCTCCCCTAAATAGTGAACAGTTCTAACCCGTGACAGATACTTTTTAGATCTTTAAATTAACAGGTAGATTAATTAAACAGATAAGAAAATAAAACCTTACATACTCATAGTCATTATCAAAATAACAATTTATATATTGTATAAAAGGGCTTAGACAGTTATTGGTTGTGCCATTATTTATAACAGTTAAATTTGAAAGTGATTATAACAATATCTATTTTTTGTACAGATAAAAAACTAACCTTTTTTTCTTTCATAAGAATGTTGTGAAGACTGATTTGTATTTTGCATCAGGGGCACCAGGCGAAAACATGAAAATGCAACAAACGAACAACTTTGTGATAGATTGTATTTTCATGTTTTCATCTGGCGCCCGGTTACTTTTTGTACTTTGTTGGCTTTCATGTGGCACATAAATCACCCATTATAAAATTTAGTGCACAAGTCTTTAAATACAGAAGTACACATTATATCCATATACTAAGATACACATGTATGCACATTACATTAATAACTCCCAGTTTCCATTAAAAACAAATATAACATCCAATTAACATTGGTACTTGGATGGAATTCATAATCTTGTTGAAAGAATACTATATATTGTATAGTATAAAAGTAAAAAAATCTCAAATAGTCTATATCATATAATAAAGATTGAGTTGTGTGAGTGTTTACACATTAAATGCATATCTCTTACAGTAAAAAAATACTGTCCCTCTTTAAAACCTTCCATTAGGCTTAAACTGTATAACTAACTGCATATATTTCAAGTGATTAAAATTGATAACTTCTGGATGTTATCCTTTCTCTGTTTTAATATATGGACATGAGCACTTATATGAATAGCCTTTCATTTTTAATAAAAGGTTATTTTTATTAACAATTTATGATGTTGATATCTTCAGAAATGAAAAAGTTATAGTGAAAAATATTTTACTTGCACCAAAACTTTAATCTGAAATCTGGACGCCGACGCCACCATCGACGACGCCGGGGTGAGTAGGACAGCTCTCAATATACTTCGTATAGTCGAGCTTAAAACCGGGCAAAAATATTGTTCTTGTGCACTGCACATTTTCCCATTGAGATCTGTTTTACCTACATTGTTTCATGTTGATATCTCTTATAATTTTAGAGTGATGTTCTGTTCAAAGTGTTAAAATTAAAAAAAGGGCAATAACTCCAAAATTAGGCAAAAAAGAGTTATGGTTCTTTGTGCACTGCACATCTACCCATTGAGATCTATTTACCTACAAAGTTTCATGTTGATATCTCTTATAGTTATAGACTTATGTCCCGGACAAGGTTTTTCTAAAGGGGAGATAATTCAAAAATGCGGCAAAATAGTTATGGTTCTTAGACACTGCACTCCCCCTCAATGCCCTCTATCACTGTATGAAGTTTTAAACATATTATATCCAAGGATTTTCAAAAATATGCTCCAGACAAGACAACAGACGGACAAGGTGGCGACTATATATGCTCTCCCTTTGGGGAGCATAAAAAACTTAAAGTAAATATATCTCATGTGATTATCAAGCAACACCAGGTCACGGAAGTTCTCAATTGAAACTTTAATTTCAACTGTTTATTTTCAAATACAACAATGGAAATATGAATGATAACAATTAGAGCATTTCATCACACATAACAAAAGTTGACCGAAAATCATCTTTGCAACCAGAACTGGTATGAACAAGAGCCACCGCAAAAAAAGCAAACAAAGAAATGTTTGAACAAAATATTAACGTTTCCTTTTTATAAAATTAATCATTCTGTCTTGTCACATAGTTTTTGTCTATATATTTTATATATATAAATTTACTGATTTATATATATATAAATAGAGACACGCAATTCGGAGTCACATGGTGGTGTCACGTGGTGGAGTCGCGTGGTGGAGTCAATTGGTGCAGTCAAGTGGTGCAGTCACATGGTGGTGTCATGTGGTGGTGTCACGTGGAAGTCATGTGGCGTCACATGGTGGAGTCATGTGGTGGAGTCACGTGACGGTGTCATGTGGTGGAGTCACGTGGAAGTCACAAAGCGGAGACACGTGGTAGAGTCACGTGGTGGAGTCACGTGGTGAAGTCACAATAAACAACAAGGTCTTGTCTTTAAGTATGTTCTGTTATATATGAAGTTGATCCCTTCAATAATAGCAAAGAAACAGCCAGTAAAACAAAGTCAAGGTCATTGATGAGTGAAGGTCAATAATAGCCAAAAACATGAACATTTCAATAATTTGACATTCAAAGTCAAGGTCATTTATGAGTGAAGGTCAAGGTCTGTCGGGTTATTTTTTAAGAGTTATCCTTGAAGATTATTATGTTCAAGTTTGAAGACAATCCATTCAAAAATAACAAAGTACAGCCAATAATAGCCAAAAACATGAAAATTTCAATAATTTGACCTTCAAAGTTAAGGTCATTTATGAGTGAAGGTCAAGGTCTGTCAGTTTATTTTTAAGGGATATCCTTGAAGATTATTATGTTCAAGTTTTGAAGACAATCCATCCAAAAATAACAAAGTTACAGCCAATAACAGCATGAACAAGCAAAATTTGGACTTTTAACCTTGAAGGTCAAGGTCATTTTTTGATGAAGGTCAAGGTTAGTGTGGTCTACTGAAAGGTCTTGTCCCAAGGGTTGTTGTGGCCAAGTATGAAGATAATACACAAGAAATTAACAAGAGGGCCATGATGGCCCTGAGGTCGCTCACCTGTATATAGGGCCCCGGAGCGGGGCCAGTTTAAACCCCAGGGATTTTATTTGAACAAACTTGGAAGACACTCATTAGAAGTTGTTTCACAATGTTAAGTTTTATTTCACAATGTTAAGTTTTTTACTACACACATATAATGAAATAATGATCTCTCCTCCCCCCCTCCCCTGGCAGGGCCAATTTTCACCCGAGGGCTTTTTATTTGAACAAACTTGGTGGACATCCATAAGAAGATATTTCATGCTAATCATCTAAGCTCAAGCCTCTTTGGGTTTTTTCAAAGAAGATTTTTAAGTTTTTAGTATACACATATAGTTAAAAACAATGACACCCCTGGGGCGGGGCCAGTTTTGACCCCAAGGCTTTTATTCGAACAAACTTTGTAGACACTTACTAGAAGATGTTTCATGCTTAATATCTAAACTCTAGCTATTTAGGTTTTTTCAAAGAAGATTTTTTAAATTTTTACTATATGCAAATAGGGAAAATCAATGACCCCCCCCCAGGGCGGGGCCAATTTGACCCAGGGCTTTTATTTGAACAAACTTTGTAGACACTCACTAGAAGATGTTTAATGCCTCACATCTAAACTCTAGCTATTTGGGTTTTTTCAAAGAAGCTTTTTTAAGTTTTTACTATATGCATATAGGGAAAATCAATGACCCCCTGGGGCGGGGCCAATTTTGACTCCAGGGCTTTTATTTGAACAAACTTGGTAGACACTCATTAGAACATGTTTCATGCTGAATATCTTAGCTCTAGCTCTTTGGGTTCTTTAAAAAAGAAGTTTTTTTAAGTTTTTACAAATATACAAATAGGGAAAATCAATGACCCCCGGGGCGGGGCCAATTTTGACCCTAGGGCTTTTATTTGAACAAACTTGGTAGACACCCATTAGAAAATGGTTCATGCTAAATATCTTAGCTCTAGCTCTTTGGGTTCTTTAAAAGAAGATTTTTTCAGTTTTTACTATATGCATATAGGGAAAAACAATGACCCCCCGGGGCGGGGCCAATTTTGACCCAAGGGATTTAATTTGAACAAACTTGGTAGACACTCACTAGAAGATGTTTCATGCCAAATATCTTAGCTCTAGCTCTTATGATTTTTTAAAAGAAGATATTTAAAGTTTTTTCTTTCGGTTGCCATGCTTTACACAAAAATGCTGAATTTCAATATTTAAAATAGAGACATGAATACTAGGCATATAATTATGCTGTCAAAATCTTGTTTTTTGAGATCTATTTGTTGTCATACTTGTACAAATCAATAATACTCTTGCATGACTATAAACGCAAACATTATATTTTACTTGGGATCAAATTTATGTCCTTGCTCAAATTATTTGGCGAGGTGTCATGGGCCATTTAAGAGGATAAAAACACTATAGAATACAATAAGGCCATTTCCGGAAAGGAAACAAGATCTATAGGTGATATTAAGCTCTTCACAAATTTTATTCAAATGAAGGAGTAAAAATTTGATAATGCAGACAACAAAATGGAAATTGACAGACAACAAACAGCCATGGTTTCTGATAGTTTTTACAGTACAGCATGCTCAAGCGAGCTTGAAAGGTGGACAATTTACAAAGAAATTCATACCTGAGGGTATTCTGAGGCATTTTTCTTGTACTTTTAAATATCTTTTTGGTCCTGAACATACTTTCATAAAAACTTCACATACAAGGCTATGAGCATGCTCTGTCTGGCATACAATTGTCACTTCCTTTTGAAATGAGTCCATTTCAATCACTTTTTGCTTACAATATTCTAGGTAGCTCTTCAGGAAACAATTTGCAGCAAATTTGATCTCATCATCATTGTTTGATTCTGTAGAAAAAGAAAATAACAGCTGGTTAATTTGGCTTTAGAAACTATACAGCAGCTTCTTTTAAACAAAATGTGATATAAAAAGAAAGTAAGTCATGAAAACCTTTATGCTCCAACATGCATATATAAAATCTTTTATCATATGGATTCAGTTTTTTCCATAACTACTAAGTATTTACACCACATTCAATTTTCAGCGGTCAATTGATATATATTTTTGTAATGAAAGGTATCCAGCAACAAAGTGAAGCAGTCCAACTTATTATAAAAACCAAGGTAATATTTATTAAATCATATTTCCTATGTATTAGCACACATTTTTTAAAATGTTGATTAAAACTAAAATTAAAGTCCATAGGACACAGGTGCCCCACACTTCACTATTTTGTCAATATTATGACTCTAGGTCAAATATTTTTTGGGCTACATGTGCCAAAAGTTAAAAACTCAAAATCTTTTACTAAGAAAAGGGCAAGAACTTTAAAAATACTGAATAAATCCACAGGCTTACCCCAAAGTGAATAACTACAAATGCTGACCAACATTCTTGTAAATTTTCAGGCCTACAGGTCAAATACTTGTTGAGCAACACATGAACAAGTTGAAAAATGCAAATTTATACTAAGTCAAGGGCAATAATTCTAACAAAACTGAACAAAATTCACATGCAAAATCCCAGGTGCATAGCTTCACAGTGATGTTGATCATTACTCCTGTGAAGTTGGTTGATTCTAACTCAAGCACATAACGAACAAATAACATAACATAATGAAACAGTTTTTACAAAGTCAAGGGCAATAACTCTACAAATACTTGATAAATCCACAAGCTAAACCCAAGGTGAACATACATGCTGATCAACATTCCTGTTAATATATAAGTTTTCAAGACTCTAGTTTAAATACTTTTGAGCTACCCACCACACAAAGTGAAAATTGCAAATTTTCACTAACTCAAGGGCAATAAATTCACAAGCGAAACCCGAGGTGCACAACTACACATGCTGATCAACATTCCTGTAAAGTTTCATGACACTTGTCAAATACTTTTCAATTACATGCCACACAAGTTGAAAATTGCAAATTTTTACTATGTCAAGGACAATTACTCTACAAATACTGAATAAATCCACATTAAAATACCAAGGTGCACAACTATACATGCTGATAAACATTCCTGTAAAGTTTTATGACCGTAGTTCAAATACTTTTTGAGCTACATGCAGCACAAGTTGAAAATTGCAAATTTTTATTAAATAAAATCAAGGGCAATTACTCTGACAAAACAGAATAAATCCACAAGCAAAACCTAAGGTGCACAACTGCACATGCTGAGCAACATTCCTGTAAAGTTTCATGACTCCAGGTCAAATACTTTTTGAGCTATATGTGACAAATTAGTTAAAAATTGTAAGTTTTTACTAAGTCAAGGGCAATAACTCTAAAACTACTAATATATCCACACGAAAATACCCAAGGTGCACAACAACATATGATGATAAACATTCCTGTAAAGTTTCAAGACCCTAGGTCAAATACTTTTTGAGCAATATGCGACACAGGTTAAACATTGCAAATTTTTACTAAGTCAAGGGCAATTACTCTAACAAAACAGAAAAAATCAGCAAGAGAAAACCTAAGTGCATAACTTCACATGCTGAGCAACATTCCTCTACCATCTCAGGACTCTATGTTAAATACTTTTTGAGTTACATGCCGCACAAGTTGACAATTGAAAATTTTTACTAAGTCAAGGGCAATAACTCTAAAATTAATGAATCAATCCACATGAAAATACCAAGGTGCTCAACTGCACATGCTGATCAACACTCCTGTAAAGTTTTATGACTCTAGGTCACATACTTTTTGAGCTACTTGCCACACAAAATGAGAATGGACGGACGGAAGAATAAATCTTAATTTCCCCCCCTCCCTTAATATAAGTGGGGGCACAAAAAGATTTATAAGGTCAGTGTTATATTTTTCATATTATTTCATATTTGACCATGACAGTCAAGGTCATTTACAGACTAAGGTCATGCTTAAATTAACATATACTCAATGTTGTCATATTTGGGTTGTTTTGTCCAAGTATTTTAAAATCTGTCCATTATAATTAATAAACATGTTTTGGCAAAATTAAAAAAACCTAAATTTAATAATTTAACATTGTCAATCATTTAAGGTCTAGGTCATATCTGACCTATTCAACATGTCAGTTTAGACAAAGGTGTTTTTTGTTTAAACATTATTCAAATCTGTCATAAACCTAGAAACATAATTTTTTTAATTCTTTCTTTGACAAAGTTTATAAGCACTGAAAATGAAAAATCTGCTGAGGAAAATTATGATAAAATGAAATATCAATTTTTTCAATTTGGGTCATTTTGCTGGAAAAAGTGTGATGGAATAATATGAAAATTTGCGCACAGGTTATTGGTCAAGACATTCAACAAATGGTAAATAAATCTCGGAGTAATATTTCCAGTCCCGTCATGTCAAAAAACATAGTGGAGTCCCTTGGAGTCCCTTTAAAATTCTAGTCCAGTCAGGTAAAAAAAAACTAGTGGAATCCCTTCAAAATTAATTGTTACTCCAAACAATTATGCTATTGAAGCCAAAATCACATTAAAAGCCATTGCATTATCAAATAATGGAGTGTAATGAACTGATTTGATCAAGAAACAGAATTTACTGTATTTGATGTAAATTCATGTAATTAGGCTTTCTGGTTTTTCAAATATTCACTTTTCAAATATTGTTCACTTTTGGTAAATATTCTTGTGACATGACTGTTACAACCTTGTGATCTATCTGTAACACCTATAACATGTCACTAATACATGTAGAACACAGTCTTCATTAGTAAGAAAATTGCGGCCTCAAACAAAGTTTTCATAATAAGTTTGCCCAAGTGAGTGACATAAATGTACTTGTATATAAATTTGTAAATTAGATACACAATATTTTGTGCAAAAAATGATAAAATTGTTTGGTATTTTTTTTATAAATGAATGACATTTACCTATTCCAAACAATGTTGTAACAATTGTATGTATCTGTTTATCTCTTGCTGCCAAAAAAACATTTTTATATGCTTTTTCCAGATCAGCTTGTCTTTCATCTTGTGGTTTACGTCTAGCTTCATATGGATATACAACAAGAAGTACTGCTGGATAACCACAACTGTATCCACCATTTACTATAACATCTCCTGTCTTGGTACCTTTACTTGCTTTTCTTTCAAAGTCACCATTGAAACTAGGTAAGTAAGACTTTGGTATTTTGTTGAGAATTGCTTGTCCAATAGCACCACACTTCCCTTTTTCATTTACTGATACAACTATTCCATTAGCTTTCACAGAAAAAATGTCTTTTAGAAAGAAAATGTTTAGCTTTTCTGACTCAAGGAAGCAAAAAACATTATGTTTCCAACCTTCTTCATATGCAAGTGGCACTGGTAACTTTTGTGAACCTTTGCTTACTGTTGTTTTAAGACTGGTAGCTCCAAAACCTTCTGTGGTTTTAAGACTGGTAGCTCCAAAACCTTCTGTTGTTTTAAGACTGGTAGCTCCAAAACCTTCTGTTGTTTTAAGACTGGTAGCTCCAAAACTTTCTGAATCTGCTCCCCTAGTGATTTCCACTGGTGTCCCTTCTGTCCCTTTAGCTTGGAAAGCCTCCTGAATTATTTTTACAGTTTCAGGCTTTATGTCAATGAAGTGTATTTCAGAGAGTGCAGTAGCTTCAGCAGCATTCTTGCAATATGACAATGTGGCTCTTGCATACTGTTCAACACATATATCCATTGGTACACCAAACAAGGCTAAAAACAAAATTCAAAAATTATATGAATTTGAATGAAAAGCATAAACATACTGTTTTTTTGTTTATTCTATGTATTTGATACAGTATATCAAGTTGGTTTTTTTTTCTTTCTTTTTTTTCATGAGTAACAATCTAATTCTTGTTATATTAATCACATGCAATGATTATCACCACAAATAGTTTGCTAAATTTTTCTTCAATTTAAAACAAGGGTTTTGTAATTTGTAACCCAGTAAATATTTTACAAAGTGATATCCAGATATCAATTAATCCAACATCAATTTCCGATTTGAAAGATGTTTTAGGTAGTTTTTTGTGCGCATCATTATGCGCTTCCAAGAAAGATAATCATGGAGGAATTTGGAGGTTACGTACCATGGAAGTTACGTACCACTGCATAAATGTACCATTTTTGGAGGTTACGTACCACTATAGAAATATATAATAAAGTGATAATAAGGGATAAGGTGTGACACTATCTGGTTTATTGTTCAAATTCGCGCATTTATTGTATTAATTTTGTAAAGAGATTAAATATGTATAAATATAAAAGAATAAAGTTGTGATAAATAATTAATACCACACTGATTCACTCATATGTCAATAGTTTGCAATTTGTTTGTGACTTGTTAGACTACTCATTTCTGAATGTGTGATAATCATACATAAAACATTGCTCATATGTGATTTTTAAAAAGTAATATTAAAGTTATAAAATTCGGTCTTTTTTTATAATTGTAATGCTCTATATTATTTGTATTTTATATAAATTATATATATGGTACGTATCCTCCAAAATATATAAGTGGTACGTAACCTCCAAAAATGGTACGTAACCTCCTGGTACGTATCCTCCGTGGTACGTAACCTCCAGTAATCATCATGGATAATTACTCTTCAAAAAGAAGGTCAAGTTGAACAGTACTCGGATAACTGTTTAAATTTTGGCTTTAAGCAAATAATCAGTAAATAATACAGAATAAATATTTCTAAATATTCAGGAGATCGGATAAAAAAAATAAGAGGTCATTTACACAACATCAGATAAAGGATTTCTCCTAGCATTAGAACGACAGCATTGATGATTCTGCGTGCGATACCCCACCCACTTGTGGTATAGTGACGAAAGTGCGTCGTCACTTGATCTCTGGCAGACAAGTGTGCAAAAAAATTTAAAATGATAGATAAACATATATCTTAAAAAATTAAAAAAAAAATAACAAAAATAATATCTCAGAAATGTTCCAATTTTCATTATTTTCTTTGTAAGTTTCTGAATACTTGTTACCTTTTCAGGTATGTTAGTCGAGTGAAGAAATAATATGGCCTTATATAACTTGTTTTAAAAACATATTCAGTATCATTTACTTCAAATAACATAAAAAAATAGTAATTTATATTACAACGTGTTTTGTTGTATATATGACAATGCATTTAGTATAACAATGATATTTCTCAAGAAAGAGTGGTAATTTTGACTATTGGCATATGCAGTAACCATGGAAACTGCCTGTTTACAAAAAAACTAACACATCAACATATATTTTTATTTCTACTTTTGAATCCACCATAAAATTTTACTTAATATATCAAAAATATAGAAAATTCTATGAAAGAAATGTTTTGACAGCTTTATTATAATTATTTACAGAATTAACTGTATGTTCATTTTTCTCATTTTTTGTTCAGTTAAGAGGCATGAAGAACTCATTTTTTAAAGAAATATGTTCAGATAATTATTTGTTTTATACAGAACCCTTAGATAATGCAAGTTTTGTATAAAATTATGCTTATTGTGTGTATAATAACCTGTCTTATATACCGTTACCATGGAATTTAACTGCCATTTTAAAAAAAATCCAACACATCAACATATATTTTCTTTTTATTTAAATTTCACACAACATAAAATTTTTTTGAAAATCCTATGAAAGAAATTTTTCAATATCTTTAATTATTCACAGAATTCATATTTATTTTTTTTTCTCATTTTTTGTTCAGTTTAGAAGCATGGAAAACCCATTTTTTAAAGAAATATGTTCAGATTATCATTTGTTTCATACAGAATCATCAGATAAGGTTATCTTTGCATAAAACAATGCTTGTTGTGTGTATTAAGCTTTCTTATACATTTTCTATTTGTTATATCACAGTTTGGCTTAATTTTGACAGTTCTGAGATATAAGGTTTGTAACCATGGAATCTGCCAATTTACAAGAAATACAACACTTCAACATACATTTTTCTTTTTATTTTTGAATTTGCCATTAAATTTTACTTATCATACAAAAAATTTAGAAAATTCTATGAAAGGATTAAATTTTCATAAAACTGTAGAAAATGTCTTTTATGGATATTTAGTATCATATGCTTTTTCTCATAGTCCATTAAATCTTAAGCGACACAGTTTGCTAACAGGTTTTATGTTTACGCTTATTTAACCAATGTCCAATATAATACATACTTGTAAGCGATACATCAATATAGGAATATGGAAACAAAATCTTTACCATTGAAAACAATATTAAGGTTTGGGAGATAAACTCAGCCGAAAATCAGTGTTTTGGGGGCATATTTCATTTATTTGTTTAGTATACGTATTCTGATGAATCTTGCACCAAAATAAACTTCAGCTCTTCGATTTTCCGGTATCACCATAAAAGTTATTTTTAGAAACATATCGGGTAGTTTTGAGAGGCCTTGGAAGAGGTACCTAAAAAGGATATTTTTAACGCGCGAGTAGTTAATTTTGCTCTTTCTTTTGCTTCTTAACCCTTTATCTCATACATGTATATACACGAAACAACGCACTTTCGACCCCCCCCCGTTTTTTAGGTCTAAAATAGTGAAAAATGTCCTATTTGGGCCCCAACACATGTTTTCGTTTGAGAAATGTTGCTAAAAAAGGTGGGCATTTTTTCGGCGCCGCCCCCAATCCAAAAGATACATCAGGGGGTTGCCTGAAAGGGGGATGTGCCCCCTTCTGTTTGGGGGGTTTGAAGGGGGGGGCGAGTCCCCCTCATCGCCAAGAAAATTTTGGACTTGTGAGAGGCTAAAAATGACCCCAGGTCGATCATAAGGTAACGTGTAACCAACGCTGAAAAGCTTTTGACTCTATCTCATTCCCTTGAGAAGTTGCAGCACTTTGAAATAAATTTTGATGGAAAAAATCGAGGCAAAATAGTGATTTATGGCAATTTTGAGATGTCCCCTTGTTGTCATGGTAACAGGAAATTTAAGACTGAGCATGTCGTTACAAAATCAATGATCCAGTCAACATTTGTGCCAAGTTTGATTAGTATTGAAGCATTTTTCATAGTTTCATAGCAGTTTGAACTTGTAACAGGAGGCTTTTCAGTGAAAACGGCCATTTTTCACAATATGCTCATGGTGGAAAGGGTTAACTAAAAAAATTATAAATGTTACAAAACAACAGTTTTTCACCAAAATTAGGTGAAAGACTACATATTAACATAGAAAAACTAGATATTTGGTGATCCCAGAGTTTTTCATCATTTTTTGTTAACCCTTTACCTCATATATACGCGAAACACAGCACTTTCGACCCCCCTCCCCCCCTTTTTTAGGTCTAAAATAGTGAAAAATGTTTTATTTGGGCACCAACACATGTTTTCGTTTGAGAAATGTTGCTAAAAAAGTGAGCATTTTTTCGGCGCCGCCACCCATCCAAAAGATACATCAGGGGGTTGCCTGAAGGGGGATGTGCCCCCTTCTGTTTGGGGGGTTTGAAGGGGGGCGGAAAATTTTGGACTTGTGAGAGGCTAATTTTGACCCCAGGGATTTAATTTGAACAAACTTAGTAGACACTCACTAGAAGATGTTTCATGCCAAATATCTAAGCTCTAGCTCTTACGATTTTTTAAAAGAAGATATTTAAAGTTGTTTTTTTCGGTTGCCATGGCAACCAGAGTTCTGCATGGAATTTAATTCTTTGAACAATTTTTTAAGGTGACCACCAAAGGAACATTCCTGTGAAGTTTGGATGAAATTTGCTTAGTGGTTTATGAGGAGATGTCATTTAAAAGAAAAGTTAACAGACGGAGGGATGACGGACGGGCGCTGGACGGACGCCGGACGAAAAGCGATCACAAAAGCTCACCCTGTCACTTTGTTACAGGTGAGCTTAAAAACAAAAGGAGATCACAAGAAAATAGGTCACTTGTCATAATCTTTGTCAGCTGATCACATCTCAAACTGTGCACATGGTCCAAATTTCATAGCTGTACATCCAAGGACAAGACAGTAGGTCACTTGCCCATTTCTAGGTCAGCTTATATCAAAGTTAAATTTTACATCTAAAACTGTGCATATGGTCATAATTTCATAGCTGTTCAATCAAAGGACAAGAAAGAAGGTCTACTGTGTTCCCTTGGGTAGGACCAAATTTTGACCTCAAAGCTTTAATCTAAGCAATCATGATACAGGTCCATCAGACAATGTTTCATGTAGAATTTTTTTAAGAAAAAATTTTAGTTTGTGTTTAATATACATAAAGAATACTCATTACCCCCAATTTTATCAATTCAACATACCTGAACTTATAGCAGGAATAGCAATACTTCTCAATTCCATGCCTTCAGCAATGGTAAAACAGTTGTAAATGGCATGAAAGAGATCATTTTTACATCTTTGAACATCATCATGAGAACGACTTTCATAATCATACCAACTTGGACCGACTGTATGAATCACACATTTATAAAGGAGTTTTCCAGCAGTTGTTGCAATAGCCTGACCAACTGGAATGTCACCATTTCGAGCAATATAATCATTCCCCTCTTTTATTAGGTTATAACCTGCTGCTCTTGCTATCACTGCAGCTACACCTCCACCATGTGAAAGGTATTTGTTTGCTGCATTTACAATACAATCAACATTGAGGTTTACAATATCCCCTCTGTAGATTTTCACCAATGTGTTGCCAAATTTATAGCACTGCTCTTTATCACTTTGATTAAGACTTGTTTTCTTAGAAGAATGTTCAAAACTTTTGTTCTTAAAAGAATTCGCAAATCTGTTGTCTGATGTTATTCCACCTGAAGCAGTATCATCATTGCTTTGAATTTGGGCTGCTCCTCTGTTTTTACGGCGATTTTGTCCTGTCTGTTTTATTTGGCCAGATGTGATATTAAAATGGTGCTTTACCTTCATGGCCTTATCATATGTATCATCATATGCAAATAGTTTATTTTTGTCTTGATTCCAGACACAACATGGATAACCAAATGATTCCTCCACTTTTTTACAGTAGTCAGGCAAAGCTGACTGCTCTATTTTCTCTTGAATTATAACAATATCTGTTATTTCTTTGTTCTTTATTGTTTGTATACTTGATGTCAGTTTCTGTACCTCACTTTTAGCAAAATCACTGTCATGAGCTGGTATAACAATCTTTGAATTTTCAAATTTAACAGGTCCAAAATTTTTCTCAAAAGATTTTATGTCCTTTTTACATATTTCACTTACAATATTCCAGACATCTCCTGAAGCTTCCAATTCAATGCTGTTGTCAATTGTAACCAGCTCATTGTCATTTATACCTTTTTGTGTTTCTGTAACTTCCTGTTTATCATATTTTGCAAGTATTGCCTTTGCACACTTAAGTTGATAAGTTGTCAATGTTTCAATTTTCTCAGTGGCTTCATCAACATTTACATGAATTTTCTTCAGTTCTTTCTTGTCCTCTTGTTGTAAATCCTTAGCCTTTGGAAAATTCCATGATACTTTTGTGTAAGACTGGAAAAAAGAAACTAATAATAATGATTCAGGAAACAACAAAAATAAGATAATATTCAGAAACACATTTTTGAAGAAAGTTATTTTATACAGTGGAAAATCTTTTAACAGATGAAGCTTTTTGTCTGCTTTTGTGGTATTCATTCAAGACAAAGTATTTGTTTGATATAACAATGCAGACACGAATTTAAAGGATGGTCAGAGAGACAGTTATTAGTATACTCAGAATGCTTTTCTTTTGGGGGCATAAAAGGATGCCTTATTTGATTCTCTCTTCCTTCCTCAGCTAGGGTTAATAATTGCATAAAAAATACATCCATGCTAAACTTACACAACACTGCTCCCTACCAGTTAAACCTGTCAAGTTGTTTTAAAATCAAGTCATATGCACAAAATAACAATGTTCATATAATTAAACAAGAGGGCCATGATGGCTCTGAAATCACTCACCTGAATATAAAACCTCTCCATGAAGAGGAAATACTTAATATTGTAAACTATAAACAAAAGCAGATATAAAGTCTAAATCTAAAACTGGTATCACAAAGTTCATATCTTTATCTGAAATTGTGCATGTGTAAAAACATTACTGGTTGCTTATTCGGAAGAAATCATATAAGCTAAGCTAAGATTTATACCTTCTTTCCATCATATCCCTTGAATATAAACTCTGACTTTGGCATATTTTCCAACTTTTTAGCATCTGTATCAAAAAAATAGAAGACAAACTTAAAGTAAATCGCTTTAAACAAATTTAATGACTGCCTTCCTAAGTAGTTCCATCACAAAAGGACTATGATGGTACTCTGTTCAAAAGCAAAACTAAATGATTGTAACAGAATCAAGAAATATTTCAGTTTTGTTTACAATACACCATATCCACAAAATAACTATGCATATTTCTACTACATACAAAAGTAAATACCTGGCTCACTGACCTCAAAGCCAATAAGGGATATCAACTAGTCATGACTATTAGTTAGTTAGTCTAACTGCAATATAAAATCTTTTGGACTTTTAAGTCCCATGATATTTAAGAGATTGAAAAGAGTTTTTAACTGTATACTAGGTGTATACATGGGAAAATAAAAAACCCTGATAAAGGGCAAATTTTGACACCAGAGCAATAATTTGAACTAACTTGGTAGAGGTCAACTATGTTTCATTCTAAAGTCTAAGCTCAATGCCTTAAGCTTTCAGTGAAGAATATTTTTTGAAGTTTCTACTATATTATATATGCATACACAAATAAGGAAAAAAAACTATGAGTCAGGTCCAATTTTGACACCAGTGCCATAATTAGAACTATCTTTTTCAGTAAGAAAATATCCGATTAATTTCGAAGTTTAAAGAAGATTTTTTTAAAAATTTGTTGACTTACATAATAAACAAGCAATTATCATAGTATTGCAAGCAATCCATAAGTCCCCTACCGGTTAGAACCCCAGCAACATTCTGATGGGCCATTGGCCATTCAATTATACCATTGAATGAATGAATGACATCAATGAACTTAAATCTTTTGAGTTCTAAGTTTGTCTATATCATAGTAATGTGTTAGTTTCCCTGCCAAGTAAGGAAATTATGTTTATACAAGAGATAATCAAAAGGTCCAATTTTCTCAGGATGAATAAGTATAACAAATGTTTCAACTGTTCTCTATTTTAAGTAAATTTGTTGGAAAAAATCTTTAAAAGTGGTCTCAGGAAACAGTTTTTATGAACAAACAGACAGACAGACAGACTGAAGGAGACTCCAAAGTTATCTTTTTTAACATCCCTGTTATCTAAATATAACAAAGGAGATATATATTACTCTTGAAAAAAAGATGCTAGATTTATGAACATCGTCATACATGATGATACCATTTATAGTCACAAAGAAGAAAAGTAAAAAAAAAAAAAACAATTTTCAAATATACCATTAACATGTATAGTAACAAAGATAAATAAATAAATCAAATTTAGGTGTTGATAATGAATGTTTATTTTAAATTTTAAGTAAATCCATGAAAAAATAAGAAAATTAAAGAATGAATAAGAAAAATTCAAAGTTAAAGGAGGAGATAATTCTGGAAATATGGATTCTAGAATAATATAAACCTTGTCATATTATTATGATGTGGGAGTTTGAAGTAAATCCTAAAAGGAATGAAGGAGTTGGGAGTTAAAAATACCAATTTCTAGAAAAAGTTCAAAGGAGGCATAATTCTGAAAATAGTCTTGCTAGAGTATTGAATCTTCTCACATATGTTGAATGATAATAAAAAACAAACTTATGAAGTTTGAAGCAGGTACATTAAGAAATAAAGAAGTTATAAAAAAAACTAACATTTTTTTTTCATGAAAATTCTAAGTTCAAGGAAGATAACTCTGATAATTTTTCTGCTAGAGTTGTAAACCTTGTTGATGACCAGAAAATAATATTTAAAGTTTGAAGTAAACACCTTAAGAAATAAAGAGGTTATAATGATTCTTTGAGTTTCTATTGCCTGATCATTATTTTTTCTATCTGCATCATTTCCACTTCAAAGACCCAATGCAAACAACAAACTCAAGGCGGGGTTACATGCCCCCCCCCAAAAAAAAAAATTGATACGTCACTCATTCAGTGTCGGACGCTGTCATTGGTTAAGCACATGCAATACTGACACTGACTGACAGGTTTATCAAAGGAGAATTGTCATACATTGGTTTGTATATTCCTTGACAGCTGAAGTGTGTCGGAGCAGGGGTCCTGCTGTTTAATGGGGAGAAATTTCTTCAGGCATGTATAGTTGTAAAAGTTGTTTAAGTCTATCATTAAATTATGTTTATTGGTAAAAATGATGCTTTAATTTTTTTCTTGGTTGAATTTTTGAAAATCGGGGGATTTTGATCCCACGGCGGGAGATCGGGAGACACTGTTGAAAATCGGGGGTTTTTGTCCCCCGGCGGGGGATATGGCATGTATGGTGTATTTGTTGCTAAAGAAAAAAGACGTGCATAATTTTCAGACTGCCACCTACCCATATTTCAAGTTTCATAAAAATATTTTCAGTACTTTTTACGTTATCACTGGATCCAGGTTATGAGTTAAATTTGCCATATTTTCAGTCTATCTGTTGCCATAGCAACCAGAATTTTCAACATAGGAAGAAAAGAAAAGATGTGCATAATCTCCATTCTGCCATCTATCCATATATCAAGTTTAATTAAAATATTTTCAGTACTTTTAAAGTTATGGGGGATCCAGTTTTGTGGACGGACTGACGGACGTACTAACAAAATGGTACTTATGTGACTTTTCCTTTGATCTGTTTGGCCATTTTTTGTCACACAAGGCTTAAAAAAAGACACACAAGTAAAAACGGAATGGATAGGATCAAAGAGAATTTACTGTTACCCATTGTTCTCCAAGTCACACAAGTACCTCTGGGTTCGTACGGACGGACAGACGGAGGGTAAACCTTAACTCCCCTCCGGTTAAACTGGTAGGGGACTAATAAAGACCATGATTACCAAGCAGGGTCATGTTAACACAAGGACCATAATTTGAGCACTCTCAAAATCAATTAGGTGATGTTTCATGCCGAATGTCCAAGCTCCAGCACTAAATCTCTCAGAGAATCAAATTCTTAAAAGTTTTTACTTGTACATTTACAGAAAACTAATGACCATAAGGCCATAAGCCATATATCTAGTAGGTAGGGCCAATTTTGACCCAGGGGCAGTAATTTGAACGATCTTGGTAGCTATTACTGATCAAGTAGATGATATTTCATGAAATATTTAGCTCTAGTCCTTGGGATTCATTCAAAAAAGATTATTGAAGTTTTTGCTATTATATAAAGGGAACCCAATGATCCCTTGGGTTAGACAAATATTGACCACAGAGCTATAATGATGAGATTTTCAACCAAGTTTTAACACAGAACCTTTACAAAAAAAGAAGATTTTTGAAGTTTTTACTATATACATGATTATAAGGAAAGTACATCATACCCAAAGCAGCGCCACATTTTACCCCCAAGCAATAACTTGTACAATCTTCGAAGATAGTCTTTAGATGTTGTTGTATGCCTAATATCTAAGTTTTTTCCCTTTGGCTTTCAAGTAAGAGGATTTTTAAAGTTTTTACTATACACAGAAATGGAACAAACATGAACCCCAGAGACTTGGCCAATTTTAACCCTAGAGACATAATTTTAACAACTTTGGTACAGAATCTCAAGAACAGTTATATACCGTATAAAAAAGCTCTAGACTTTGAATTAATAGACCGAAGAATTTTTTGAAAATAACATTCTAAACACTGATGTATTTATGACAGGAAACATATAAAACAGAAAAGTGTTTCACTCTCTATTTATTCATTTCCCAATTGTTTTCTATAAAGAAAATAATAAGGCTTGCATCTTGCTCACTTAAAGCAAAAGACCTCCAGAAGATATAATATAATAAATTAGATGCCTTGGTGCGAAAGGGTTGTAACTCATAATTTCACCGAAAATGATTTTATGGTATTTTTCAATGTAGGAGCAATATACACACATGTTGTAAAAATATTGAACTTGGAAGCTAAAATTAAACTACCAAAAAAGTATATATGTCCAAAGGTTGTAACTCAAACAGACATATTTTGTTTGTGTGAAACGGTTGTAACTTAAGTTACAACCGTTTCGCACCAACATTTTGATAATATTTTGAATAAATCCTAGTGCAAAACAGTTGTATCTCAATATCTTATATCATATTCTGTGAAATATTTAGTGGATTATTTCTTTCAAACTAACTGACAAGTTTATAAAACAGTCTCAGCTTCTGATTCCTTGTTATTTACATTATAAATTGGTAAGCTTTCATTCAGACATAATACAAGAATTTGAATAACTTACACATATTTCAAACATAAATCAATTCCAATGCTTGTTAAAGAAACAATATCATAGTACATTGCTTTATTTGACTAACAGTACTGTTATAGTGATTTTTTTTCAACATAAAAATTGTCATTGGTATAATGTTGCATTGTTTGCAAAATAGCAAGTAAAAGTAATGGACTTATTTTGGTTTTACGAAAATGAAATTACCGTAACTCAAAATAAATTTATTATAAATAATTATTGTCATACAATATATTATGATTGTATCATAGTTTGGAGACTTTTGAAAACAAGTCAGAGTTAAATTGCATACCAATACATGCACTTTGCTTTAACTCACTGTCAGTCTGGAGCTTGCTTGTTAACTGGTTCATTTTTTCTGGTTTTTGTATTTTCTGATCGTAAGATCAGTAAATACATAGCTAACATCCACGGTCTAACACAAACTTTCCTAACAGTCCTAACAACGCAAAGTAGTTCGCACTCAAAACTGCTTAAAACCAGCAATTTAAAAGAAAGAATGATTTTTAATGTAGGCATTGAACGAATTACAGTGCATTAAAAGTTTAAATTAGTCAATAGAAATATGAGGTTACAATCACAAATTTCGCGGATGCATATCTTTTTTACCCAATGAAAAATGTTCGGCTATTTCCGTAAAGCTTCGGATTATCATGATCAATGAAAATGCTATTTTTAGCTATGTCGATTACCGAATACTCCAGAGCGTAGTACAAAAATAAATCTGACTGTCGAGTAGTGGAATATATACATGTCGGACTGTTTTGGCGAGAAGATTTTCGCTAAAATATTTTCATCAGTGTTAAACAACAGGTTTATCGTGAACAAAATACCTCGAAATTGATAAGGATTGCAAACACGAAATGGAAATTCTCAATTTAGAATAACATAATGTATTCGTTTTTATTCATGGTACATATGTATTACTTCGCCGTGGTGCAGAGGTAAGCGGTCTCGTTGAGGGTGTGAGAGGCCTATGGTTCAAATCCTAGTCGAGGCAATTCTATTTTTTTTTCATGCAAAATTCCATATGTATCAATCTCAAACTGTTATAGAAGAAAATCAAAACTGCGTAAAATGAATTATAGTATATAAAAATAAACTTATACAGGAAAGTACATACAGATTTAGATTGCAAAGATCAGAAAATACCATAGAGCTGCAGCCCTTTGATTACATATTGTGATGACAGGGAAGGAGATAACAGTAGAAAAGTCATATTCAGATGCTTATACATTTGGTACTTTTTTCTTGGATGACTGGGAATGTGTTGTTTTTTTTGCCTAAGATATAAAAGAGAAAGAACATCAAAACAATCGGCAATCTGATTTATACTCTCATACAAATCCGACAGCCTCGTGTTTCGATGCTTTTTTAATTACTAAATATTAAAATAACTTAAAGAAATTATACAATTATTACTCAATTCTTTATTTGGTTTTAAACTTACATGAATTACTTTTATAACTTACATGTATTACTATTGGAATATTTTCATGTTTTGTCAAAGACAAATTGTATAAATTAATATTGTACTACAATTTATTTACGTTACAAGACAATGTCTGACTAGATATGTGAACAAATTTTTCTTTGACAACATATTGTGAACAGTAAGTTTAGATACATATACATATGTATAGACAAAAGTATTACAATATATTCAAACACGACCCTCATTTTTCCCTATTGAACATAGAAAAACCGAAAGTGTGTGTTATTATGCAATAAAATCACTGTTTGACGTTCTATATGTAGACATGTGACGTAATCATTATACACCTGACGTAACCACTAAAGATGTGACGCGCTGACAATAAGTACGGAAACAAATCAGGCGCAATTTAGCTAATTACTATGTACAGCAGCATCTATTTGTTGATGTCGTGTTAGAAATGAAATAATATATCCAAATCGGTGATTTTATTGCTTATCATTCGGATGCTGATCATTATATATAATTCCCCGCATCCGAACTCCAAACAGTAATGTTATTGAGCAATAACATCACAATTTGGGATATATTATTTCTTAAATAAAATGTGTTTATGTGTAGATAATTAAGATAATATATCCCAAACTGTGATTTTATCGCTCAATAAAATCACTGTTTGGAGGTCGGATGTGTGGATTTACGAGGGAGTAGCCCCGAGTGATATAATGATGCACATTCAATCAACAAACAGTGATTTTATTAAGTGATAAAATCACCAATTTGGATATATTATTTTGATTCTAACACAACATCAACAAATAAAATTTAAATGCTGTACTACCTTATATATAGCTAAATTGCGCCTTATTTGTTTCCATACTCATTTTCAGCTCGTCACATTTTTAGTGGTTACTTTGCGTGTATAATGATGTCGTCATTTGTCTTAATATAGAATGTCAAACAGTGATTTTCTTGCATAATAACTCACACTTTCGATCTTCTATGCTCAATAGGGAAAAATGCGGGTCGTGTTCGAATATTAAGTAAAATATGTTATTGACCCTTTGTTTTCTGTTAGATAAAAGTAAATTATCAGATATATTCTATCTGCTATTTAAAATCATATTTAAAGATGATAATCTCTTCCTCAGCTGTATGTGCGTTTGTGTGCACACCTGTGAATTTTATTGGGGTGGGGGATTGCATTTTGTAATTGTTATTATTTGCAGGCCTTATTTTTTCTCATTTAATTACTGACTGATTTATATCATTATAAAAATGAAATTTGGGACTGTAAAGAGTTGTAAGAATAGCATGAGCAGTGAAGTTAGAAGCTTAGAACATCTATTACCATCTTTCTCATACTTTTGGCTTAATAGTAAAGAAGATCCTGGATAATGCTTAAAAAATTTAATTTGTACACAAAAGCACATCCTGGAAATTATCTAAGTTTTCAAATTAAGAAAAGCCTATGTATAGAATAGATGTAAAATAAAATGAGAGTGTTCTCATTTTCTAAAGGCTTATATTAACATCTTAGATGGTTTTGTCATTATGTAAGTTTACATTTTGAACTTTGATTCTTGCAAAAACAAACATATTTGGTACTTATGATGGGTTTGACAATCTGAACTGTGTGTCACATGGAAAAATCATTTGACTGAAATTTTATTTAAAAACATAAAATTTGAAGGTTTTTCACTGAAATATCTAGGCCATATGTTAAATTAGTTCATACTAAACACAACTAAGCTTGGATCTGTTCATTTGACCCATTACATTTATCAGAAATTAAAGCAAAAATTTAGTTACAACCCTTTCGCACCAAATCATTTTTTTATTTTTTTTATTTTTTTGGTGCGAAAGGGTTGTAACTGAAACTTTATCAATTATCTCTTTATGCTGACAAAATAAAATAACCTTTCCAATCAATTATATATCAGTAAATGAATGAAAGCCAAAAACCAAAATTAAAGAAGTATTTATTAGAACGTAAAAGAATAAATAAGTTTTTTGTCTCTCCTGAACAATTTCAAAATATTGAGTTACAACCCTTTCGCACCAAGGCATCGTAAATATAATATATCTAATATTTCAAATCGCCCTTCAATAACAGCATATAGTTGAAAGAAACTAAATGACTATCAAAAATGTTCATTTTTTAACATTATAATGCTCTGAAAACAAACAATTGACTTTTCCATCAACAGGAAATACGTTCTTTTATTATACTATGGAATTCTTTCATCTGGGAACCAAGTGACTGTACAGGACAATATCGCGACCTGTGATCCGGAACACAAAGAATCTGGGATCGTATCAAAATTAGAGGGAATCAAATAAACTGCTTTTGTTTTGATATTTGTAGTTTGTGTAATTTGTGGCACTAAAACTATAATTCATTATATACCATGACCATCTTATTGATTTAAACTTTAGCTTGAAATAAGATTTAGGCCTACTAAATGACAAAATTGATATACGACCACGAGCATACGGGATACCAGGATTTTTCCGCACCAATGTTGTGACACTTGACCGTGTTAAATTAATTATTTTCTCCTATATATATTGGCTACTGTGTTAGTGAGTGACATAGTAGATTATGCAAAGGAAAAACACTCTATATTGACGATTTTTTTTTAAAATGTCAGTAATAATGGATTTTCACATTAACTACATCAGTATTTGCCGTTGTGCCAAATTATTTCAAAATCCTAAATGAATGGCTGAGTTATGGACTAGACAGGTAGCGTGACAGACAGACAGACATTAACCCCTTTTTTATTCATAAAGGTGGGTAACCAACCAGTTGGAAGAAATATGTTCTCTATAAGTTATCTTTATTTTTCTGTTTTGCTAAAATGCCAATTCTTTTCATGTTTCCAATATATTCTACAGACCATATACCATGCGTAATAGGTCTTAATTAGCTGGTTAACCAAAATAAACACTCTTTTGGCAATATAATCAAACAGACAAAAATTAACAAATTACCTTCAACATTTTTACAAATTAAGATAGCTGTATCGGAGCCATTCTGATAAACCAACTTTGGATATAGTATTGGCAATTCTAGCTCCGCAAGTTTCACTATCAGGGATTCTTTGGTTTCACTCATTGGAATGTTTTTCATTTCCACATAACATTCCAATTCCTTGGTCCTTTCCAGTTCAGGATTCCTTAAAGAAATGAAAAATAATATTGCTAGAAAACAGGGGTTAAACAGGAGTTTTGAAGAAGCAACACATGCTGTAACAAATATGTAAATGGCATGTTACAAATTATGCTTTCACAGTTCATAATGCATGAACATTTTACAATAATAAACTCTCAAAATGACATTGAAAATGATAGAAGGGTTTAACTTTGTAAAAAAAGATCATCAAATCAGAACATGCTGTTAGTATGAAAACATCTCAAGGTAGTGAAGCTTCCAATTAAGTGTAAAGAGTTAAAGTAAGTGGTTGCAAATAAATAATGGAAATATTAAATATTAATGAAAAAGCATTAAATGGACAGAACTAAATGGTAAACAACGGACACCTGAGGCAAGGCAAGATACTCAAGAATTTCTCTGAGGAAACTAATAATTTCACTAAAAACTTGCTAAAAGGGGAATAAATGTATTGATTGTAGCTTAAATCTATGCTTTGATATAACATATTAACGAGCCAAATACACTCACTGAAATAAAAGTTAATTGGAGAAAACAGCTTCATAGATAGTGTGTTTAAAAAACAGCATAACTTTATAAATAATGAATTGATTGCTGCAAAAATCAAACCTCGGCCAGACCTGTGTTTTTGCTACATACTTTAAAATAATTGACATACTTCAATTTTTTTCATGCTGAAACCAATTAGCTTCTCTTTGACATGGAGTAAAAATGGTGAAGAGGACATTTCTTTATATTATTTTCTTTTATTTAATAGAAGGCTATTGGCCCCTTACTCTTTTGTTACAGAATGAACTAGATTATTCTCACAGTAAGATGGCCCACTGTTTGCTTTTAATAAAACTTGGAGACAGACTGATGGACAATGCCACATCGCATTAATCCTAAGGTTCTTCAGGCATTTTAAAAATAATCAAACTAGAACATGTTTTAATATGAAAAGAATACAAATTTTATTTGAACAATGAGAATATGATGATTCTATATTTCTCATCTAGATAATTATGGTCTTAATTCTTTAATAATTGGGCCGCTTTATGATTTATCTCTTTTTGACTCAAACAGCATGATTTAAAAAAAACCAAAAATTCCTTAAACTTTCTTTTGTAAGAATAGAAAAAGAATATATTTAAATATTTCAATACTCACTGCACATAGGTAGAACTGGACTGCATATCTGAAAAAATATAATTTAAGTGAAACAGTACAAACTAGAACTGCCACTGTCATGGTGTGAATTAACCCCCTTATACCACTTTGTCAGAATCAACAGTAGCCATACAGAGCTCATTTTAGGACAACCTCCCGGTTACTAAGCCAGTGCATTGCTAAGTTATGTATTTTACATGCTTCAAATGTGAAAATGTCAAAATCAATACACTGTGGACAGGCATTCTTAAGCATTTGAGCAGACAAGCTTATTATATTAAAACTCCCTGTGACCTTGACCTTTGACACAGTCAACTACAAATCAATAGGGGTCATCTTATTGTCATGGCCAACCTCCATGCCAAAT